CGCTCGTCGTTGCCGCCGCCCAGGCCGGCGCCGCGATGGCGCCCGACGGCGTCGATCTCGTCGATGAAGATGATGCAGGGGGCGTTCTTCTTGCCCTGCTCGAACATGTCGCGCACGCGGCTGGCGCCGACGCCGACGAACATCTCCACGAAGTCGGAGCCGGAGATGGTGAAGAAGGGCACGTTGGCCTCGCCGGCGATGGCGCGGGCCAGCAGCGTCTTACCGGTGCCCGGCGGGCCGACCAGCAGCATGCCCTTGGGGATCTTGCCGCCCAGACGCTGGAACTTCTGCGGGTCGCGCAGGAACTCGACGACCTCCTCCAGCTCGCCCTTGGCTTCGTCGATGCCGGCGACGTCGTCGAAGGTCACCCGCCCCTGCTTTTCGGTCAGCAGCTTGGCCTTGGACTTGCCGAAGCCCATGGCCTTGCCGCCGCCGCCCTGCATCTGCCGCATGAAGAAGATCCAGACGGCGATCAGCAGCAGCATCGGGAACCAGGAAATCAGGATCTGCAGCAGCGGCGAGGCTGACTCCTGAGGCGCCGCGTTGATCTGCACGCCATTGTTGCGCAGTCCCTCGACCATTCCCGGATCCTCCGGCGCGTAGGTCGAGAAGCGCGTGCCATCGTTGTAGGTGCCCTCGATCTGGCGACCCTGAATGGTCACGTCGCGAACGTTGCCGCCTTCGACCCGGTCCAGAAAGGTGGAGTAGGCCACCTGAGAGCTGCTGTTCGGGCCTGGCGAGCCTTGAAATAGGCTGAACAGCGCGAACAGAAGCAGAATTATGATGATCCAGAGGGCGGCATTTCGGCTGAAATTCACGTCGCATTCCCTTCGTCGACAGGGTCTGCGCGAGGTTCCAGCAAAGACCCGTCACAGCTACATAATGTGCCCCGAGCGCTAAGCAACTGTAAAGCTCGTCTCCGATCCGGCTTCCGCGACCGATCGCGGCACGCAAAAGCGCCCGTTGCTCAAGGCGCGCTGGGGGCGGAAGCGGCTGGAGAAGAGATCCGGATCCCAACCTGGCCGGGTAAAGGCAAGCTGCGGTACTGCCAGAGGCACATCCCGCTCGAACAGGGCCGGCAGAGAAACCCGGACGGCGGCCGGGAGCGCGAGGGACGGCGCCACGGCGGCCTTCAGTTCGGGCCGCGCCTCCAGCACCGCCCGCCAACCGGCCTCGCCAAGCGGTCCGACGGACAGATCGGGCGGCGCCTCGACGCCGAGAGATACCCAGAAGCGACCGTCCCACCGCAGGCTTTGACCGGGCGCGAGCCGGCAGGCCTGGGCCGTCGGCTCGCGGACCGCCAGCCAGCCGCCGGCCGCGCCTTCACCGCGGTCCCCTCCGTCACGCCCGGGCAAAAGGCGGCAGCCGCCGAGCGTGGCTGGACGCCGAGGCTGCTCGCGAAGACGTGATAGGGCCCGCTGGGTGCGCGCCGCACGCGGCGGCCAGCGGCCGCCACCGATAGAGGCGAGCAGCTGCGCCAGCGCCCGCAGCGCGAGCGGATCCGGCGCCTCCACCAGACCGGGCGCGACCCTGGCGAAGCCGGCGGGATGCGGGAAGACGGTATCGACGAGCAATGCGGCAACGCGCGCTTCCGTCGCAGCGCGCCGGCGGCCGGCCGTCGCCGCCAGGTCGGCGAGCAAGCGAGGGTCGAGCCCGGCCTCGGTCAGTTCCGCGGTGCGCGCCCGCAGCCGGCTGCGCGCATAGCGCACATCGTGGTTGCTGGGGTCTTCGACAAAGGCAAGACCTGCGGCACGGCAGGTGGCGACGAGCCGTGCCTTGGGCTGCGCCAAGAAGGGCCGCAGAAGCCTGAAGTCCATGAGTTCCGAGATCGCCGGCATCGCGGCCAGGCCATCCGGACCGCTGCCGGAATCCGCGCGCTGCAGCAAGGTCTCAACCTGATCGTCGCGATGATGCCCCAGCGCCAGATGCAGGATACCCGCCTTTTTGCAGGCCTCGCCCAGCAAGCGGTAGCGTGCCTCCCGCGCCGCTGCCTGCGACCCCGTCGACACGCCGAGGCCGTCGCTCCAGACGAGAACTCGGCTCGCGATTCCCAAGGCCTTGAGCCGCGCGGCAACGGTGGCGGACTCCTCGGCGGACTCCGGACGCAGGCGGTGGTCGACGATGAGAGCGAGCAGACGGCCGCCCCGTGCGGCCAGCCAGGACTGCAACAGCCAAGCCAGGGCAAGGGAGTCGGGACCGCCGGAGACGGCGGCGGCGACCTGCGGACGCGGCTCGAACGGACCGCAAAGCTCGAAAAGTCGCGCGGCTTCCGTGGCGCCGATCGCCGAGTCGGCGACAGGCACCGTTTCGGATCGGGTCGCGGCGCTAGCTGCAGCCGAGTCGCTGGGACTCACGGAGCGCGCGTTGGAGGACGGTCGGTGCGGCATTGGAATAGCGGCGCTGCAGTTCCGAGAAGGTCGCGCAGGCATCGTCGGTTGCGCCGAGGTTGGAGAGGGACATGCCCAGCTTCAGCAGATTGTCCGGCGCCTTGCCGCTGTCCGGATAGCTCTGATAGCCCTCGGCAAAGACCACGGCAGCGGTCTCGTAGTCGCCGCGAACATAATGGGTTTCACCGAGCCAGTACTTTGCGTTGCCTGCCAGATTGCTGTCGGGATAGAGATCTAAATACTGGCCGAAAGCGGACTCGGCCGCCGGATAGTTCATCTGTCGCAGCAGCTCGAAGGCCGAATTGTAGGCTGCCTGAGGATCGTCGCTCGGAAGCTGCGTGGCCGGTGCCAACGCTTGCTGTTGACCGGACGACCCGGCAACGGCGCCCGCGCCCTGGCCGCCTGTCGCCTGAGCACCAGCCCCCGCAACACCCGTCGTCTGGCGCGCCGCGGCCAGATCCCGATCGCTGATGGTCCCGAGGGAACGCGGCTCCAAGGGAGCCGGCTCCCCTTGGCCGAGCTGGCCAATAGCGGTACCGGGATCTCCGGTCGCCGCGCCCGCGGTCGATGGTTCGCTGCTGCCCACCACGGTGGGCCCGCTCCCGCCCGGCGGTGTGTAGGTCGCGGTGGGTGTCTCAGCCGGCTGCCCCTGCCCCTGTTCGAGCCGCAGCAGCCGGGCCTTGGTCTCGGATTCGAAACGGTCCATTCGCTGCTGCAGCTGGCGCACGCCGAAATCGGCGTCCTCGACGCGGCCGGTGATGCGGCGCAACTCGGACTCCAGAGCGGAGAGCCGTCGTTCGAACTGGGCCGCCTGACCGGCATTGAGACCCGTCGCCTGAGTCAGTTGCGTTTGGGTCAGTTGCGACGTCAGAAGGAGACGCTCTCCGGCCATCTCGGCCGCGCCGCTCCGTAGGCCGGAGACCTCCGCTTGCAGCGCCGCGAGATCGTCCGCCAGGGCCAGGGTCGGCTCGCCGATCGCAGCGCCGGCCGGGTCCCGATCCGAAGCGTTGGCCAGCCCGGGACCGGAGATCAAGAAGGCTGCGAGCAGAGCCGGAGACCAAGAGGTTGGGGCGAAGCGAAGAAGGGCCATGACAGCTTTCCGGAGTTGTCGTCTCTAGCGATGTCTCTACACGGAGCCCCTGTTGGATCGGGGCCTGATCGGCTTAGGGGTTTGTCGGGGGCGCCGCGCGCGCCTGACGTGCGGTTGCCAAGCCGCCACCGCACGCGGTCGCACTCTTGTCCCCTGTTATGTTTCGGCGGTCACTTTGACCAAAATGCGGCGCTTGAACGGATCGTGATCGCTGCGCGCACCCGACCCCTTGCCGTGAACGGAAAAGTGCCCGCCGCCGGCAAGCGGCAGCGGGCACCCTTCAGGATCTTCTCAAGACCGCTTTGCACGAGACGGCGCAAGCCTGGGCGCGGCGCGCAAAGCGACCCCTAGAGTCCCGGCCGTCAGCCCGGCAAGAAGACACCGCGGCGGTTCTGCGCCCAAGCGGCTTCGTTGGACCCGAGCACGGCCGGCCGCTCCTTGCCGTAGCTGATCGTCCCGACGCGGGTCGGCGCGATGCCCAGCGCGATCAGGTACTGCCGTACCGCGCTGGCGCGGCGCTCGCCCAGCGCAAGGTTGTACTCGCGGGTGCCGCGCTCGTCCGCATGCCCTTCGACGGTCAGGGTCACGGTCGGGTTCTGCTGCATCCAGGCCGCCAGACGGTCGACCGTGGCGCGGGAGTCGGAGGTGAGCTCAGCCGAATCGAACCCGAAGAAGACCCGGTCGCCAACCTGCTGCACCAGATCTTCACGCGATCCCGCAACGACCTGGTCGGTGGCCGCGCCCACGGTTGAGCCACCACCGGTCTGCGGAGAGGTCCCCGCACCGGCCTGATCGTCGGGTGCGCTTTCGCAAGCGGCCAACATCAGCGTCGCTGCTGCGATCAAAACGTACTTGAGCTTCATGATTGCGAGAATCCCCTTATCTGACGTCCGGGTTTCAGGATGTCCCCCGAACCACCTGTTCTCTGTTGATCGCCTGCAGCTGGCCACGGGCCGGATTCGGCGAGTCGATGCCCCCTAATTGTGCCGAATCGCGCAAACTCGCGCGACCGCGACGCAATATATCGAGGAGGGTTTCATGGAATCAAGGGCGACCAGGCCGGGTCAGACGCGTCGAGCGGCGTGATCACCTCCCGCTCGTTGAACCCGGTCAGATCGATTGTGTAGAGCCGGCTGCGTTGCTGACCCTGCGATGTAGCTCTCTCGGTACGGTAGAAAGACATGACCCGACCGTTGGGAGCCCAGGTTGGGCTTTCCACCAGAAAGCCGCTCGCCAGCATGCGCTCGCCCTGACCGTCCGGCTTCATCACGCCGATATAGAAGGTGCCCTGGTGCATCCTCGTGAAGGCGATCAGATCGCCGCGCGGCGACCAGACCGGCGTGGCGTAACGCCCCTGGCCGAAGGAGATGCGGCGCACGTCCGATCCGTCGGCGTTCATGACGTAGAGTTGCTGAGAGCCGCCACGGTCGGAGTTGAAGACCACGCGCGACCCGTCCGGCGCATAGGAGGGCGAAGTGTCGATCGCCGGGCTGCGGGTGAGTTGCTGCACCTGACGCGTCCGCAGGTCCATCGTGTAGATATCGCTGTTTCCTGCTTCGGCCATCGACATCACCACCTTGTTGCCGTCGGCGGAGAACCGCGGCGCGAAGGTCATCCCCGGAAAATCGCCCAGCACCTCGCGGCGCCCGGTCTGCAGATCCAGCAGATACACGCGCGGCCTGTTGTTCTCGTAGGACAAGTAGGTGATTTCCTGAGTCGTCGGCGAGAAGCGCGGCGTCAGGACCAGGTGCTGGCCTTCGGTCAGGAACTGATGGTTGGCGCCGTCCTGATCCATGATCGCCAGCCGCTTGACCCGGCGATCCTGCGGTCCGCTCTCGGCGACATAGACGAGACGGGTGTCGAAGTAGCCGTCCTCGCCGGTCATCCGCTTATAGATCGCATCGGAGATGATGTGGGCGATCCGTCGCCAGTTCGACTGCGTGGTGGTGTAACCCAGCCCGGTCATCTCCTGTTCCGCCAGCACGTCCCACAGGCGGTAGAAGACCCGCAGGCGACCGTCCGACGTGATCTCGACGCCGCCACCGACCAGCGCCTTGGCGTTGATCAGCCGCCAGTCGGCGAAGCGCGGGCCGTTCTGGATGCTCGCGACGTCCTGGATGAAGGCCCGCTGATCGATCGGCACGAAGAGGCCCGAGCGGGCCAGATTGTCCGAAATCACCTTGGCGATATCGGCGCCGAGCTGCGCCTGCTCCGGCGTGTCCGAATGGAAATCGGTCACCGCGATCGGCAGCGGCTCGGCAAAGCCCCGCACGATGTCGACGGTGAGCTGCGCCCGGGCCGGCGCCGCGGCCAAACCGGCAGCGAACAACGCACCGAGGAAAACGTAAAGGACTCGCAGCGGCAGGCCGGCTGCGACAGGCGGGAACGGAAGAGAGCGAACGAGAATCACAGAGTTATCCTCCCAACATCTGCCGGGGGTCGAAGCGAAGGCGGATGGATCTCCAGACCTCATACTGGGACTGGGGCAGTTCGGTATAGGGCGCGCACTCGAGGACGGCGCGCCGGGCGTTTTCGGCGGCGGCGCGGTAGAAGCGGTCGCTGTTCAGTCGGCCGGGATCCTCGAAGCGCGGTTCGCCGATCAGGAAACCCTCTCGGGTCAGCTCGATATTCATCACCACCAGGAACTCCTCGGCATTGCGCGCACCGGGATCGAAGCGCCAGCAGTAGGCCATCTTGTTCTGGATGATCTGGCCGAGCTGATTGACCTCGGCGCTGGACGGTAGGGCATTGCCCGGGCCGGGCCGGGCCGCCTGCTGGGTCTGGCGCGGCTCAGGCTCTTCCTGGTTCTGAAGGACGTTGCGCAGCACCGACTGCAGGCGGTCCTGCGGCGGCTCTTCCGGTTCGGGTTCGGGTTCGGGTTCCGGTTCCGGTTCGGGCCGCTCGGCGACCTGCGGGCGGCGCTGGGGAATTGGCGGCGTGACGTCGGCCAGCAGAGCGGTTTCCGGCTCGGACGGCTGCGCCTCGGTCGCCGGCGCTTCGGGCTCGGGGGCCGGTTCCGGCTCTTCCGGCTCGACGGCCGCCACCTCGGGCTCCGGCGCCGGCTCGGGTTCCGGTGCGGGCTCCGGCGGCGGCACAGCATCGGCGGCCGGCGGCGTCGGCGCCTCCGCGGCTTGGGGCGGTGTCGGCTCCGGCTCTGGGGGAGAGGCCGGCTCCGGCGGCGGCGTGGGCGCGGCCTCGGGCACCGGCGGCGGCTCCGCCGTGTCCGGCGGGCTCTCGGACGGCTCGGCCTGGGGTGCCTCGGGCACGCCGGCGAGTTCCGCCTCACTCTGCGCCGCCGCCTCCGCCAACTGGTCCACGCTCACGAGATCGACCGAAAAGACGGGTGCGATCGGCGGCGGTTCGCTCAAACGCGGCAATCCCACCACGGCCAAGCCCACGACAGCAAGATGCAGAGCGACCGAGCCGAGCAGCGCGGCGGTCATCCCGTTCCCTTTCTGTGCGGTTTGCTCCGCGAGAGTCACGTTCGAGAAGGCTCCCTGTGGTTTTGCGAGGCGTCGAGCAAGGTGTCGTTTGAACGGAGGCGGCTACTCGGTCACCGGTTCGGGGGGCGGCAACTCGGCGATCAAGGCGACGCGCGAGAAACCGGCGGCGTTGATCGTGCTCATGACCTGCATCACCGTTCCGTACTGCAGGCTGCGGTCGCCGCGAATGTAGATGCGCGTCTCCGGATTGTTCTCGGTAATGGCCACCAGTCGAGGAACCAGAACGCCGAGTTCGACGGGCGTTTCCTGGATGTAGACCGCGCCCTGAGCATCGACCGTGACGACCAGCGGCTCGACCGGCTCGGAGATGTTCTGCGCCCGGGTCTGGGGCAGGTCGACCGGGACGCCGACAGTCAGCAGCGGCGCGGTCACCATGAAGACGATCAGCAGCACCAGCATGACGTCGACGAAGGGCGTGACGTTGATCTCGCTCATCGGC